TTGAAAATTACAAATGTGCATTAAAAAAAAAGGGCGGTTGGTCCCTTACACTACTTCACGCATGCTTTGGCTAGTTGAAAGTGATATTTCGGCTGCTGGTATTTAATTGTTCGCCAGGGCAACGGCTCGGGTTTGCGTGTCCTTGAGACCACATATTCAATTCCTTGATTATTTTCCCTCCAATTGCCTTTCGCGGCATGATTTTCTTGGTTTTCACGCTGCTTTTTTCCCTTTTTTACTCAAAAACCAATTGTTCATCCGATTTTTAGTTCATTATAACAAATTTGCGCGTTTCTACATAATGTTCTTAGTTTTTGGAATTATTTTGCTCTCTTTCTACCCCTGATATGCCCCACCCATACTTTACCCTATTACCGCTCTCCCGTCTTGGAGTTGGGCGCGCTTCGCGCGCACTCACACGACTCCATGACACAATCCTACCCAAAAGTCCTATGTGTACGTCACCAATTTCAAAAGTTGTTTCCGAGGTTGGCCCCCTAGCTGACGTAAGCCTATGTCCCTCTGGATCAGTGGAAATTTCTCCTGAATCTTTAATCGTTCACCTTACTCCTCGTTCGAGTGAAATCGTGGCAACGCCAAGTCGTTCTCTTTCTAAGCTAACCACGCGTGTGGTGGCTGCAAAATAGGGTAAACCTAGGAATACCCCTGGTAAATCTAAGCCAGTTGTCAAATTCGGTAATGTCATTACCGATGGGAAACTTGCTGACACCTCATCATCTACTCGTGAATTTTTTAAGCTGGTAACACTAGCTCTGCGTCAAACTGCATGAAAGTGAGGGCTGAGATTGTGTCACTAGATGTTTTGGGGGCAGAAGTTACCTCGAACTGGGGCGAGGATGTTGAGGGTGACCCGAATCCTGCTATGATCTGCGCTGCAAGTGAAAGAGGGTGTGGACGCTTCGATTACAAACCACATGCCTGGGGACGCAGCATCGATGAAGTTCCACTTGGCCTAGTACGGATAGACTTTTGTTGTTTCAGGCGTGATGCGTAATGTGAATCAAGACCACCTAATGCTGTTTGTGCCGGAGTTTCAAGCTTCGAGAAATTATCGTGCCTGTTTCGTCTTAGCCGTGACGACCCCTTCAGTTCTGTACCTATTGAAGCGGTGGTCATTATCAATATCGTGCGTAGACACGAGTGACAATGGGTCACGTATTCGGACGGTCAGATTATGTTCCTATATGCGAGTGCCAAGTTTTTGACCTGTATGACTTATGTAGGCACTAGGGCAATCAGCAAACCGAATGCGATAAATGACATTAGTTTCGTGCTCACTTCAGATAATCCTTGCATGTAGGGCAAGGAGTAGAATGTACGCTGTAACACTCCTCCATTACAGCTCCGAGTTTTTGATTGTCTCTGACGACGGAGGCAGTTTTTCATAAAGGTTCAAAGCACGCCAGCAGAGTTTTCATGGCGATTAAATTTTGGCACGGTGTTTAGCATTTTTAGTAGAATTTTAGGCATAAAAGGGCAATAAAAAGAAATCGAAACTTCACAGAAGATTCTGCCTGTGCCAGTAGTCAAAGGAACACCTCTCAGCTGGATACCGCTAAAGCACTTTTCATTACCACAACCGTTACGCAAACATTCAGCCCTAACGACCCCAAAGTCGATCCCGTGTGGGAGTTAGAACACAGACATCGACGGTCTGGACAGCGTGTTGCTTCTTCATTCTTTGCGCTGCAAGTGTGTGGGAAATGAAGTTCAGATGGACAATATCTCTCGGCTTATGTGTCAGAGTGGGATCGAAGTGCAAAAGTCAGGGCGTACTGGCTTGTGAATTCGGTGAATTTACGACCGTATTATAGATGCCTAAAATACTTCACAGCCATGAGACAAATTTTGTCAAATAGTATACCATGCGTCTTATTTTCAAATGAAACATGATGTCAGTGGAAACCGTCTTGTTTGGGAGCGAGTTCCATTGTCGTATTATTCATCGGCAATATTAGGGGTCGACAATGTGGCCAACGATAAAGTGAATATTAAATCTGGTGCGCAAACAGTTTCGAGAAGATGTCGATGGTGAAACAAGTTGCTCGAAAATAAGGCAATGCCGATACTGCGATCGGTGCAAAGATGCAGTTTGGAAATCAGTCGGAGGACGAATTAGCGTGAGCTCGTAAATGTGTGCCGGTGATTTGGGCCAACGGAATGACGCAAAAGGATATGTCCGAAACACTGCATCCCAATGAATGCTAAGCCACACGAATCCAGCGGGGAAGAATTCCAGCTTCGCCCGTGTTGGAGATGAAGTAAATTGTAGAGTATTCTTTGGGAAGGGGAGCGGAGGAGAGCCTAAGAAGGAGAGGATTGATTCAGCAAGCTGGAAACAGAAATGAATTGTCTACGCGTCGTTTTTACTTAGAGCTCTACAATCATTATTCACGTTGAAGTGGATCCAACAATGCAAAGAGAGACCGGAAACGTGATGTCTGACTTATTAGCCATCATCAGCCAGTCAAACCCAATCCCAAGTGTGAAGCACTTGGAATTCGAGTCCGGGACCCTTTATCATTGAGTTTAACACTCTATTATTGCGCCACGGGCTCGTCGCTTTGTCGGTTAAGATCGAAAATATGATAAATACGTGGGGATCGCAGATCTGGTAATGGAAAAAGTGTACGTTCGGGTTTTTTCCCTAGAGAATACTTTAGAGCCCTCACAGACATCGCATGGCAAAATTTAGAAGTATGTTGAATTGGATCCACCAAAGCAAAGGGAAACCAGAATGGCTATTTCTGGCTTATTTTGCTAAGGCTGTGATACGCGATCCCCAGTAAAAATTTTAATAAAGCAAACTAGGAATAAAAATGTTTGTAATGACGGACAGATTGATCATTAGTAGAATTGCGGGCAGATGAGGTTTTCAGTTTTGTGGGCAAATTAAACAAAACAAAAGGATTAAATATAAGGTAATCACTTGCTTGGAATCATCCAATTTTTAGCGTGCAATCTTGGCACAATTTTGGGAATATTGTTGTGTGATACATTACGCAATATTCCCGTGTGAGTTCCGCCTGTGCAATATAAATTAATTTCTATGAATATTTTGGTTCAGGAATATGAATTCATCGTATTTTGCAGGGAAACTAACTTAGGAGGCTAAGCCTAACGACACAGAGACATAACAGACGGACCAAGTGTTTAAAGTAGTTGAAGTGCAGACTTATTGTACGGAGGGAAGATCGAAAAAGGCGTGTTGATATCGCTTTGCATTTTCGCCAAAATACCGTCTTTTAGTTTCGTTGTTCGATTGCCACTTGTTGAACATACCTCTTATTGAAGTTCCACAGTTTTTGCACATTCGTCGATTGCTGGCTTGTGCGACACGTAGCATATGCAGTGCCGCCGTTTCCCCATATAGGATATCATGAACAATATGATTTTGGTTCGCGTTAGAAAACCGGCACTTTCTACCACCATAGCCTTGGCTCTAGGAGGATCAGTTGCATTTATTGCGTGGTGGCTATTCAATCGTTCTTCGCGTCGAAGCAAATCTTTCGATACCGATGAGTCTTACGATCGTGCACCGAAGATACATGCTTCGCAGTATGGATTAACACAATCTGGATTTAGGAGTGGGCAGTCAGAGAAAAGCATGTCTCTTCGATCACGTTCTTCTTTTAATCCACAACTATTTGGAAGTCGCCAGAGGCAGTCTTCACGTGATGCAGTTAGTACCTGCGCGGGATCGGAATTCGGCAGACCAGCCACAATGATGGAATGTGGTAGCATCGGTTTGGATACTTTGAATATTATTATTGAACAACTGGAAGAGTGTATGCATCATATGACTGAGGCACATGAACGGTTGAACAAGAGCGAACGTTCTTCCAGCTGCGAGATGTTTATAGAGGAACTTCAGAGCTTCCTTGGGACGTCATATCTTCTCCGCGAGCGTTATAAACGCGTTTTTATTCAACAGGCTCCCCAGCCGCTCCCAGACATACCATCCCTAGATGCTTTATCAGAAGACGATACTGCTTCCTTCGTCTCGGCACTGGAGGAAATTGATTTTTCTGAACTAGAGATTCAACTGATGTCAAATTTCCACCGTCCGCTTTACAGATCGGCCTTAAAAGAACTGAATGAAGGGAATGCCGCTTTCAGGTGACAATTTTTTTTCCATTCTCACGAACGGCTTTTACGTTACACCACGTATATGATTGAAAAACTGATAACTCGCCCTCATTTGAGCCGCACTGTACTTCAACCGAGCTTTCTTCTCAGTCCAGTCTGTGACGGCTAGCGCTGGCTGATAATGGTTCTTAAAGCAGAAGTGGCTATCCCGGTCTCGTCTTTGTGAGAGCCTTCCTCTGCTTTCCTATGTTACCTAATAACATCACTAGCAAAGACAAGGGAGACCGAATTGGCCGTTTCTGGCTTATTAGCCGGCACCAGCCAATGACACCCAACCCCAGGTGTGACGGCACCCGAAATTCGAACCCGCGACCTTTGGTCATTGAGTGCAAGCCTCTACAAGTGCACCACGAGCTCTTTGTTTTTGTCGGTTGCGATCGTGGATATGATGATAGTGGGGGGCTCACCAATCCCGTTGTGCCCTGGAGCTCATTATAGAGCCCTTGCAGGCAGTCGCATAGCGAATTGTATAGTATGTTGATTTAAGCCTAGCCAGGGAATGATCTTATTAAATACCAATAGAATTTTCATAACAAGTTTACGATTAGCGAAGATTACTTAAGTGAGATTTTAACATTAATGATCCTGCAGTCTAATCCCGTGATATTTCAGACACGCCCGGATGTTGCTTTTAAATGCAATTTCGGCCGCTTACGAGCTATACACAGTAAAGTTGTCAACTTAAGTCGTTAACATATTTTCTGTGGATTTTTGATACCTTTATACATTCGCATAACTCTTACAAAAATATGCATCAAAATATTCTTTCTGTTAGTCCCTTGGTAACAAGTCATCTCATCAAATTGTATACCCAACGAAAAGGCATATTTGGATAGTACACCAGTCTTCCAGTTCCTTTATAATTTTAAGCGCGATTTTTCATTGCGTTTAGTTTCAGGGCTTTCAGTCTACAAACAATGCCTTTGTAAGGAAAAGCATGCATTAGTCTATGCCATTAAAAGTTATCATATAATGCTCAATCACATTTGCATGTCATAAATTTCAAAAGGAGCATTAATAGATGAACTGATGTGATTTCAGTTGACATTTCATGGTCTTAAAATCTTCATAAATCGGATTTTTTTAAACGGTGAGGTAGCTTTTCTTCGAGTGTAACATGTGAAAAAAACGCGATTGGTTATCAAATGAGGACCAACGGAATTATTTGCGCATGTTTCCTATAAATGTATTTGAATTTACGAGGACGTCGAAAATCAGTTGTAGGCAACCGAAAAGACGTGCATTCAAAAACTGTCATCATAGCCTGTCTGGAATGTTATGGGATCGTGCCACGCGATTATATTAAAAAAACCACAAACGTTACCTTTCCTGATCAAAGAAGCATTTCAGCGTTTCGTTTAACATTTCATGAGGTAGGTCACTGACTTTATACTTGTCAATTAGACGCGTGACCCTCACTGTTGTGATTTGAGTCTTGCTCAATCCCGATCAGGCTGTGCTGCAGGCGATAACGAACTTTGTGCTAGATGATGTGTACCACATGATAGTTTGGCCTTCGCATCCGACGATGTCCACCGCGTGCTTCAGCAGGCTGAAAGCAAACGCGGTTACTTGCGCGTGAATTAGTTGGAAGTGGTAATAGACTTGTGCTGCAGCCACCACAGTCGCTTTCTTTTACACCCGGGCCGGGTGTCATGACCAAGTCAAAAAGGCCAGAGGTAGGAGAACGCGAATTTAGCTGGCGCGGCGCGAGCCGCATCCGAGTATCCCGCCACACCTGACCCGGATCCCATGGGGTGGGAGTGCCAGAAAGTTCATTTTATGAAGGAGCCATTGCAGCATGACTCTCAGCCGGCTAGAGAGCCACTCCGCACGTATACACACTGGGTCGACTGCGTGGTTCGAATTATTCTATGAGTCGGCAACCTTCCAAGCTACGGCTTTTAGCACACTGTGATAGATTCAAGCCCATCAGATCCTTTCTAGTCAGGAAAGTCGTCCGACCTATCGACATCTCTCCCAATCCCCATTTCCAGACACCAGCCCCAGCCCGAGCCGATCAGCGGACCGGTGCGGAAAGTGGGCGCAACATACCACAGATAATACACAAAGCCCATTACTGTATTAACACGCCAGACGCGGGAAACTGTTTTACTGTTATTACCATGGGAAATGTGATCACCAGTCAGGTTACGGAATTCTTGCAGGCAAAACGAACCAGAGGTTGGATGTTGCAGGCTAACGACAGCTCCCAGGCTCCCTTGTTTTTCAGTTAAGCCAATTATAAAAAATCGTGGCTTCGGTGGGATTCGAACCCACAACAACAGGAAAGGCTTTAGTACAACCAACGCTCTACCAATTGAGCTATGAAAGCACGCCGAAAGCCTTGAAATTAATTACACTTGGGTTAGTCTTCTCATTCTGCCTGTAGTACTAATTGTTGTGCGGTTGCCTTTGAAACTCCAGGTCAAACATAACTGCACAACAGGACGAGCAGATCCCGTTACTCGACCTAACTAGACAACGAGCTCGTAGGTCAATGGTTAGGGCGCTGGACTTACGAAATGAACGTCATGCCTCCAGAAACCTGCAATTCATTAAGGTCGGCTGACGACGACTAGAAAGCCGGAAGTGACCATCCCAGGCTCCCCCTATTTGTAGACCCTCCTTCCAGCATTTAATCCTGGTCACTGTGCGACTGACTTCAAGGGATGCAGATTAAGTCTTAAGGTGTAAAAGAGGAGCAGGCCGAGGAATTTCATCACTAGACACAGTTCTAAACAAAAATTAACTAGGAAGGGAGGCCATTTTGAAAAATACTTTTACTGTACAAGCTTTGTAAACTGATTCCCCTAGGTCGCCCTTAGACTGCGAAGTGTACAAAATCAGATAATTAGTTGTGTTTAACGAAAAATTCTATGTTTGATTGAAATATGTGCCGATACTTATCAAATTTATTTCGTCATCCCATTGGGATGGGCTGTACTTGGTTCCATTTGTCCTTGAGGATTTTGTATGTGGCATTTAACTCGAGATACCCATAGGTGCATGTCTCGTCCTAATGCACTGTCTCCAGGAATTCACGGTCTCTCCTTATTGAGGCGGCATCAACAGCGTGAATGTTCTCTCACTCAAATTTCTGCCCAGTATCCAGTGGGTGTATAGCCATCTGGGAGAGAGGTTCTCGTCTCATCACCTCTTGCATGTATTCTTTTACACGATCTGAGGTGGATTTTTCAGTTTGACCATGATAGAAAACATCACAAGTGGTGCATGACGCTTAGTGAAAACCGCATTTCCTGTCGAGGTAGCCGGCCCTAAGGTAGTTGGAGACTAGTGTACTAGCTTTATCAGATATTTTCAGCCGTTTTTCGAGGAACCTAGGTGCATTTTGCACGTATGGTTGGGTTCGCTGTATTATTGATTTTCGTGCGAGGGCGGCCGTGGCGTTGGAAATACTTTTTTCTTTGAAATGTTGGTGCTTCGTAAACCGATTTACAAAGTCGTGCGGTTACCCATTTTGTAAAAAAATATTTTGACAGATTATTTCTGCCCGATAAAGTTTTCATCATAGCGGCGTGTTTTGCTTCGATTTAGAAAACTGTCAACAAAACTCCGTTTGTGGGAGACGGGGTGATTACTCTTAAAATTTGAGACGAACTCTGAATAGGTTTATTTCGCCCTAACTAATATGTGCACTGATTCATTGCTATTTCGATATACAAAGGTATCCAGAAAAAAATCCAATCCCCGTTTCGAAAGTAAGTCTTTGAAGTATGGAATTCAGACTCGCATGAAGCAGGCCTAACTCTTTTTATTGATGACGGCACAGGTGTACCTTATATAACACAGGCGTAGCTATGGCATGACTATGGGAGGAGTCAAAGCTTATGGTTTCTGCTGGTAAACCGCACATGGTTGAATTCACGTAGTGCGTTTTGTTTGCTGCTAGCATTGTTTTGCGAAGGAAAAATATTTTCTAGTTATATATCTATGAGCTACCGCGAAGCGTCCGCAGAAACATAAATTGTATAATTTTGAATTAGTTCCTCGGTGCAGCACTTTGTTAAATCTTCTGGACTTGAGGCGAAGAACAAGATCGCATTAAATGGTACTATTATTTCGCCCCTTGCGACTCTGACTTCTCTTGAATCCTAAGCAAAATTCTCAGCGTTTTCTGTAACAGGGTGTTGCAGGTAAAGTAGTCACTGTTAGTGTTGTTAAGGTTTTCGTAATTCATGCTTGTTTATTCACCTGAATAGACACCCGAAGTCAACAGCTATGTCAGAAGACAATCGGAATATCTGGGATATTCTTCGTGGTCCTATAAAAAAAACAGTAAGATTAACAGGGTACGATAGGCAAAAATGTGGAGTAGAAATCAAAAAGGAGGGTGAAGATATATTGAATATTAGACGAGCAGCCTTGCGAATGACACAGACTCGTGGCTGCCAGTTTATGAGCGAACAAAAGCAAGTGACAAGGAACGAAGAACAAGGGTAGCCAATGGATACGAAGGCAGCAAACGAGGCCAAGGGGCATTGGACATGAAGAAGCGATGGATGGGTAAGCGGAAATAAGGACAAATACTTCAGTTAAGTCGGCTTACTGACACATGCTTAGTAGCCAGTGATAACCGAATATTGCGTTGACGTGCTGCATGTCACAGTCAACTTTAAGTCGTATAGTTCAGTGCACGGACGACGGAGATCGTTGGTCGCGGTGGAGTACCAGTTTTATGAATATTTCTTTGTAACTGTTGGTTGATCCTGTTTTGGATATTTGACAAGAATTCGTAAGATAACGATGACGTTAGTAAATTTCGTGCCATATTTATGTGAGAGTAGTGCTAAAAATTTGTGTCGGTTCTTTAAGGCTTACACAAGGCTACTGTGAATGGTAAACCAAACTTCTACTGTATGATTCGCGGATTTGTCTGAAGTCGCCAGGGTGATTTGAATCAGATGGACTGCCCCTAATCCCTGCGCACGATACGTTCTTCTTTGTTGTCGTTAGAACCCCTGGATGATATGTTTGTAGTCTTCTTCAACCCCGCAAAATTATTAAAACTTTTGTCACAAGTGAGCATCCGATTTTTTTTAACATATTCCTCCTTATTTTTTTTCCACAGGTCCGTGCGAACGGAGTTGATGCAATGCGATTCGGACGTGGAGTACTTGGGCAAACTAATCTGCGTCCGGCAAGGGTTCGACTTGCTTTTGTCTTGCCAAGACCCCGTGAAATGGCTCACTCAGACATTCTCTTCGCTGGCCTGTGGAATTCTTAGTTGTTTAGGCTACTCTTCAGAAGAATTCGATGATGCCTTCAAGTAAGTTTTTAAAAAATTAATCCTGACTTTTCGCTTCATTAATGAACCCCGCTTTTGTAGGGGATTTTTCGCTTTACGTAAATCTTCTCTTAGTCCTCCCTACCTTTGGAAGAGAGACCTAAAATCGACACTTCTCGATACCATGAGGACCTAACTTGCCAGCAATGGCTGGCATTTGAAGCGCGTTGGTTAATGCCACATTAAGATGAAGCCGGCAATACGAACCGAGTGGGCGGATTGTGAATCAGGTTTGCCCGTGCACGCATTTCGTCGTAGAAGTAATCCAATTGTAGCTTGCGTATTCATGTAGTAAGGTTGCCTGATTTCTGTAGTCCGTCAAGTGTCGTAAAGAATACGCAAAATGGTTTACTGCTTTGGGATAACTTGACTTCCGTGTTGTCCCGCGTGCCAGTTGCTGTTTTGTTCTTTTCAGTCTATTTCAGTTTTTTTTGGAGACGATGCTTTTGAAAACCCCACCGTTTACATTTATCTACGTACACAATACACGTTTTCCGATGGTCGCTATTAAAATGGTATTAACAAAGTGTCAGTAGCACAGTTTTTAAAATAAACATTGATCCACCGTTGACTCCATATTTAATTCTGGTTCTAAGTGTCGAAGGGGAATAAGGGACAAAAATACTCATCCAAACGTTTCTGGAACGGCTCTGGGCATATTGAATTCACAAGTAATCGAGGGAGGCCTTTGCATTTTAACACCGCTCATTAAGTGAAGAATTCAGAGCGAAGGTTCAGCCTAAAAAAGATTGCGGTTCATTGGAGTCTAGGCGGACGTCAATTTTTTTGCGGCCAGTATAATAGTTGTACTTGTTGCAGCTGCGATCATAACTGATCTAGACGGCCTCGATAATGTCCCGGATAGTACTTCTTCATGCGTGACGATCCGTGGCAGCAGACATGGATAGTTCAATCCATTCTCTTCGCCAGCACTGGAGTCCGATTACCGAACGTCCAAGAACCACTTCTCTTTCCTGATGGACTGAATCGAGTCGGGATTTGAACTGATCACCTCTTCGAAGTATTCAGCTGAGTAACGGTGTTGGGTCAAGGACAGCACCACTGACTTCGTTAGGTTGACGACGAAAGTATCCAAATCACCTCGATCGTTTTTCTTGGATGGGCCGGGATATCCTTGCGATGTTGTCGCAGCGGGTGCAGACCGTCTCATTTAAGACGAAAGCGGTGTACTTCACTCGAAGGACCTTCAAGCAGCAGTGGTCAAATACCTTCAGTTTTCCTACGTCTAGACAAGGAAGAAAACGTTCCGAACACCGGATCAATTGGTTTATTGTTCTGAGATTTCGAACTCTTACAGCAATCCATCTTCAGAGATGAGAAGTAGCAACCAAAAGGAGGGTGATTATAGTGGCCCTAAGCCAATCAACCGTCAGAAATCATCAGGTTGTCAAGGGGTTAGAAACAGCAATCAAGAGGATGGGGGAGGGGGCAATGATGGTGATGTACGACAACTAAATGTCAGTGGAGTCGGGGGAGCAATTATAGTGGTGTACGCTAATTAGCTGTCAGTGGAGCCGAGGGTCATAAACAGCAATTACTGTGGCGCCTTGTCGTCATGTAGAGGGTCCCGGTAACCCTGCCTCCTCTTATGGCGGGTTAGTTGTGGGGTCCTCTTCGCTTGCCATTCTTTCTTTTGGTTTAAACTGTTCTGACTTTTGTCCACCTAATAGCGCAAGACTTTGTAGGCCGCGGGCAGGTCTAAATGCCTGTTGACAGAGTTGGCATCTGTCTTACGCGCGCATAGCCCAGCATTCACGGCCGTTGAGAAGGGCAGCCCGAAAGGATGCATGGTACCTTGAAATTCATAGGTATTTTCTAAGACTTGGGAAAACGCGACGAGCTGCATCAATTCGAAGATCTTCACGGCATCATCGATAAGACTTATGCAGCGGTAGTTCTCGCATGCTGTTTTATATTCCTCGTAAACAGGTACAAGGATGCCTCAAACCTAGTCATTAGGAACGTGTCTGGAAGAGTCGCGTGGGCCATTGTGTCATAAGATGAACTGTGAGTTGGCTCCCTGGACCTTTATTTCCCGAGTGTCTGACTCAGGCATTCCGACTTCAGGCGGGCAGCAGACATCTACGTTGTCCTGATAAAGCCTGTATCCTTCAGGTTTGGGTACCAGGGGCCAGGAGCGTTCGCACATTACTGCATCAAATATTAAGGGCCTGTTTCCGATTGAGTATTCCAGCTCGCATACTATTTTCCCGCACCACCAAGCCAGGGTTTCGGAGCGCGTCTGTTCCCGCGGATGCCGTAGCATGAATCGTGGTACTGTTATAGGACATAGTTCATAAGGTTTCCTGGGAATTGTGAGTACGGGCAGGTCTCGAACAGCCGTTCGGATTGTTTTTTTGAGGTTTGCTCCTCTAGCGCTTTGGCTCAGTAGCTTAACCACAAGGCCGCGGTGACAGGCGAACTTATTTAATGGTGTTTCATGGTCGCCATGTCCCAGTGTCTGCGTCAGGCTTTACGACATCTCATGGGCTGTTGGCGTGCCAAACCTTAGCCTGCCGCACCCTGGTAGCAATGTCGCCGCTGGTCCGCGACTCCTTATTCACCCGACCCAAGAGTCTGCTCATTTTGCAGCTAAACTTCACTGAAAGCCGTTCCCTTATCCGTCACCTGTGGACGCGTCGCGTAGCCAGTTAAGGGTGCCACGAGTCGTGAATTGGCGCAAGGGGTAGTGTCAGTTGTATGGAGGACGACCCGGATCCAGAACATATGTTTGTAGTGCAGAGGAGGAGAAGGTGAGGGTTGATGCACACTGTCTCTGCTCCTCAAGGCAACTCCTACTTCGCTGCTGCTGCGAATCCATCATTTTTCGTTTGAGGAATTAGACCACACGGATTGCTCCTTTGCACCGTTGTTTCAAAGCATCCTCCTATGCATTCTTGTCGCGCTTTGTTTGCCTCCTGTATTCATTTGGCTCGCAACGTCGCGGTGGTTATAAGTATCGTGTGAGATTTGACAAGTTTATCTGATCAGTTTAGTGACGTTCAGGTGACGCTTGTAGTCCCCTTTCCTACGTTTTCTGCGAAAATCCGTTGCCATGTTGCCGCATAGCAGGTGTTTGGCAGACCCTCATTAGCTGTCCCCTCATTTCGGGGCGCTCCCTCCAAACTGACTACGTTTTGGCGTTACATTACCGTTTAACACGTCAATCGATTCTAATAATTTCGGTGCCCGGCATCTGTTTCTACTATTTCCTGTTATGTACAGGTGAGTGTGGACTAGAGCTTGCTCACGGTTTTTAAATGCTATCCAAGCCTGCGCCTCCTTCACCCGCGAATGGGTTTCGCAACGTGTGCCATGACATCTCGCTGCGGAAGCTCTTAGCCTTCCGAAGCCCTACTTGGCTGTAGAGATTTAGACTAGCCTTAGTGATTAATTACTTTGAATCATTTCCCCGGGTATGTAAACTGGTTCGTATCAGCGAACTGCTGATAATTGGCAGTGATCATGTGTTCAGTGTATCCCACAGTTGGCGCACCAGTTGCTGCCTGTTTCCTGATTTTGGCGTGTCGATTGTCATTATCAGTTGTTATTTTTTGCGGGGACCAGGGGGGCCATGCTCCTCAATGGTGTTTAATAAACAGTCATTAGGGGGTTTGGCAGATTTGCTTAATTCTAGTTGACCCAGTTGTGAAAGAACTCGCGGCATTTGGCGGGATTTGAAACCGCATTGTAGGGATGACCTTAACCGGAAGCCAATGCTCTACCATTAAGCTACAAATGCCACGCTTCACACCGCGAGTTTAATCACACTTGGATCGATTTTACCCGCCCAACTTCGCCGCACTA